CTGCAATGTGCATTTCCCCACCAATGCAGTGTTTGCTGTGCTGCAGGTGTGCAAGAAAACTGAGGCTAGCCGGGCACTGCTGAGTGTGAATTAATGAATTAATTAATCACCCTGGGTTAATTAATCACCTTTTCTCCTCCCAGGAGTGTTTCCTGTTGTGAAGGCATGATCTGCAATGTGCATTTCCCCACCAGTGCAGTGTTTGCTGTGCTGCAGGAGCACAGGATGGCCAGGGGGCAGCTGGGCAGTGCTGGTGTGAATGAATCACTGAATTAATGAATTAATTAATCACCCTGGGTTAATTAATCACCGTTTTCTCCCCCCAGGAGTGCGTTTCGTGTTGTGAAGGCATGATCTGCAATGTGGGGATCCCCACCAGTGCAGTGTTTGCTGTGCTGCAGGACAACTAGGGGCAGCTGGGCAGTGCTGAGTGTGGCACTGCTGCTGCGAATTAATGAATTAATTAATGACACTGAATTAATTAATCACCTTTTCTCCCCCCAGGAGTGCGTTTCCTGTTGTGAAGGCATGATCTGCAATGTGGGGATCCCCACGAACGCCACCAATGCCGTGTTTGCTGTGCTGCAGGCTCACAGGACGGCCGGGGGCAGCCGGGCACTGCCCAGCCTGGCGCTGCTGGTGACAACGGTGACAGCGGTGACAGCGGTGACAACGGTGACAACGGTGACAGTGGCCCTGTCCTGACACAGCGGCCTCAGGCAGAGCTGCTGGCACAGCCCCCAGCGCCAGGAGCCTCCGGGATGTCCCAGGAGATGTCCCCGATGTCCCCCCGGAACGGCGCGTCCCCAACTCCGCGGATATTTTAATGGGAATTTTCCCCCTCCAGTATTGGAAAGAAATCCCACAAAAAACCCCTCCCTGCTGGGGTGGGGCAGTGGGGTGGACTCGAGGTTTAATTCCCGATTTTCTGAGGGAAATGCACATTTTTTTTTTGGTTTTTTGTCGGACAGAGTTGTGGGAATCGCAATCCAGAGGAGCTTTGGATGGGTGGATGGAAGGTGGAAACTGGATTTAAAGCTTTTATGTGCATAAATAACTCGGAGTTTCTTGTCTGAGCAAAATGGTTTTTGAGCTTGATTTTATAGAGAACACTTCTGGTTTTTATGGAGATTGGGGGTTTTTTTTCTGCTTGATCACAGCTCTCATTTCCCCCCCGCAATAATACAAAATTAAATCTTTTCTTGCTGTAAATTCTCTCCTCCTCCTCCCATTTTAAAGCTGTGGGAAATATAGAATTCCTAAAAATCCTGTTGGAGCACCCAGAGCAGAATTCCTGATCATCCAAACCAAAGGGATTTTTTTTCCTTGCCGTTGAGTCTCACCTCAGAATATCACAAAAAAAAAAAAAAAAAA